TCGGGAGACAGAGGCAGGCATCTCTGTGAGTTCCAGGCCAGCCTGGTCTACAGAGCAAGATTCAGGAAAGGCACAAAGCTACACAGAGAAACCCTGTTTCAAAAAGCAAAAGAATTTAAAGCAAATATACTTTTCAGTTTTTTTACATTTACGTGTGTGTGTGTGTGTGTGTGTGTGTGTGTGTGTGTGTGTGTTGTGGGCCATGGAACATTTGTGGAAATCACAGGGCTACTTATGAGAGACTGTTGTCTCCTCCCACTATGTGTGCCCAAGGATATTGAACTGGGGTCATCAGGCTTGGTGGCAGGCACCTTTACATACATCTCCCTGGCCCATATACTTGTTTTTACTACGTTAGACAAGTTGTCTTTAAATTAACAACACTATATTGTTTGCATATTTTATGTCAATCCTCAGGCCGAGTCACAGATGGGTGATATGGGTTTCAGAAATCTTTCTACTGTCATTGTGCCTCAGAACATCTTCAGAGAAATGAAAACAATGTTTTAATACATGGAAAGCTCTGTCCTTTCAAGAGAAGCCCCCGAAGCCACATTTAATTATAGCTTCCAATTAAATTGAGTCATAAATTTAAACAAAAATACATACTATTATTTGTAATATTGGAAAAAAAAATTCACAGATTTGTGTAATAGAAAGGGTCAAATTAATAGAGTCCCCCTAAGGAAAGCTGAGACCCAGAAGCAAAATTTTAATTTAAGTTTTTTGTATTCACTGATTTCTCTCTCACTTCTTGAATAGCTTCCTCTAAAACATCAGCTGTCCATTAAAACATGAAAATCTCAGTTCTCACTAAACTACAGAAAGTTTCTTGGATTGTGTCATCTTTCATCTTTCCTGCCTCTAGGGGGAAGTGTGTTTTCAACAATTCTGTCTCCAGGAGGTGCGTTCTTGTGGGTTAAGGCTTCACTGTGGTGTTATCTAGTGTGACTTCGGATCGGCTGGACAGTCTGCAAGGACCCTCACTTTACAGGTGTTAGCCAGGGTTCTGAGGCAGGGGGATTGTAGAGAAAATGCCCCAGATATTTTTTACTGCATTTCAAAATATCATGGCAACTTCTCCACGTGGTAGTCTTTCCTGGTGACAGCGGATAAACATGTGGACACAAACTTCACTCCACAGAACTAGAAACAAAATAGAGCCTGGATATTGATGAAAACATCTCTGAATTCTAAAAGAAAAGCCTATGAGTGTCTGTAATATCACATTTAACACTAATGTGCTTAGGTTTTCCACTGGCTAATCTTATTCCTTTGTTTTCTTTGACAATTGAGGTTGATAATTGAATTCTGAATGTGAAAAACATGGCCCCCTCCCCCGAAAGGAGCAATACTTAAAACCTGAGTTCAAGGCGATTTCTGTTTTTCTTTTTTCTTTCTTCCTTCCTTCCTTCCTTCCTTCCTTCCTTCCTTCCTTCCTTGTTTTGTTTATAATTATGATTAAAATATTATAAAAGTTATATTATCAAGTGGTGTTATTTTCAGTTTTACTTTTCTGGAAAGCCTGAAAATTTATTTTTACATAAGTGGGTATATGTATGTGTATGTGTGTGAGTGCATGAGTGAGGCTGTGTGTATGAGTGAGTGTGTGTGTATGTGTGAGTGTGTGTGTGTGAGTGTGTGTTACAAGGCATTGAATTTATCTCAGGCAAATTCCAGTGATCCATATCCCCTGCTGTCCCTCTCTCTCTCCCTCTCCCCTGGCTCTCTTTCTTTCTCTCTTCTTTTTTAATCTTTTATTTGGTGACAGGATCTTATAAAATTAAATTGCACAGGTTGGTCTTGAATCACTCTGTGGCCCAGGCAGCCTTTGAATTTGATGCCTCCCGAGTAGCTGGAGTTTCAGGCCCGCGTCACCAGGTCCAGCTATAAGTGTCATGATACAAAGAATGCCACTTACAGTGGGAATCAGCTTGGTTACCAAACCTGTTTTACATAGTATTATTGGTGATTTTCCCAATAAAAAAATATCCCCAGGGGACAAAGAGACATTTAAACATACCTTGCACACTCTTTGGGCCACGGTTCTTCAACTATAGAAGCAGAGATGTCTTTTCCGGCCTGAGACGGCAGAACTCCCTGATAAGTCAGTCACACATGCTAGCTCCCACCGGTGCCTAAAGCACTCTTTGAAGCAAACAAACCCTCCTTACTCAGACCCATAGGCTTGTCTTACTGTTTATAATCTCGTGCTTGTTTGCGTTTGAAGACTGTTTGTTTATTATTTTCAAATCCCAGCTTCTGTTCATTTGGAATCTGCAAGGATGTGTTGAACACAAGGCCAGCAACATTGTGGCCCCCTCCCCGCTGTTTCTGGGCGGATCCACAGCTTCCTCTTGTCTGTGCTCTTTAGTAACAAGTTGGAAGCTGAGCGCTCCTACCCGAAGGCCACAGGGAGGCTATGGTCCTAGCCATAACGTAATCGCACTGCCCTGCTGTTGACCCAAGGGCGAGGCTGGGCAGCGCCTGAGATGCGAGAGGCACTCACACAGGGTGCCACTGAAATCCCAGACTCTTCTAGCGAGCCCACACCGTACCCTGCAGAATCATATCACCGTTGGCTGGTGTTCTCCAGACACAGGGCATACCGGGTGGTAATAGGAAACCTCCGTCCCTCATGTCTCCTGGCAACCAGTTGGAATCCACTAAGACCCTTGGAATCCAGGATTTAACTGTTGTCTTTTTTTTTTTCTTAAATAACTATGAGCCTATAAACAAATGTTGGCTCTCCCAAGAGTTCAGGAAGGATTTAATTGCTGTAAAGCGTTAAATGTCAGCTTCCAATGTGCGAGGATAACTAACTCTTCAGAATTAAATTTTATATAGAAGCCTCTTTTAGTACTCGTTAGCAACTCTAATTAAATAAACAAAAGCTCACTTAGGATTTAGAAACTCCTACTTAACAGCGAAGGTTTAGGGACCATAGTGCAGAACTAAAATCTAAATGTCTCCGGGTACGCAAAGTTACCCGGAATTACATTTTCTCTGCTAGAAAGGGCGTTGGAGGGAGGAAGTGCTGATGCCCGGAGTTGCTATCTCCCCAGACACCTCAATTTGCCATTTCATAGTCACAGATGAGAGCAAAGACACTTCGGGGACGTGGGGGTGGGGTGGGGTGTCTTGGAATTTAAAAAAAAAAAAAAGCACCCGGGGCAGCGGGTGAAGAATCTCTAGCAAGTTTCTGCCGAAAGAGGGCGTACGTTTTAGCCTAACAGAATTCTTGCACACACCGACGCCCAGCTGAATGAAAGAACTTTTAAAAACATTTCACATTAACTTAATTTGCGGGACTTTAGTGTCAGAACTACCTCGTGCTATACAGCCTGTTCCCACCGCAAATGTCTTTGCTGCGTGACCAGGAAAAGAGGGTGCACGTCCTTTTGGACCTGCGCAGCTGCGCGGTCCTGCGCGCCGCGCCTCTGGTCTGGGACATCCCCACAAGCGTTTCTGCTCGGTCTGCATCGCTGTGGTAGTTGTGACCAGTGGGAAGATTGGGTCTCCCAGGCAGGACCTTTCTGGGCATCCTGGAACAGAAGCGGCTGGATCTCCCAGCACTGGGGTTGGAGCAGACTGCTGTTCGGTACTTAGGGATTCTCTGGGGAAGATTTTTTTGGGGGGTGGGGGACGACAGTCCCTTTTAGTTACCGGATTTAGCAAACAGAAACTTGGGGGGATGCTTTTCAAGGTCTGTGACACTTCCTGGAATGGAATCATTTACTCACCATTGGAAGCAACAAGTTTCGCTTTTCTGGTCTTGGTGACCCTGCAGAGGGTCTGTGCCCTGAAACACAGCGACGGCTGAGGTCGCTGAGATTCTAGCGTGTCCCAGCAGCCCGGAGGGAGAGGACCCACGCCGGGTGGCGGAAAGACGGGTGCGGAAACCGCCAGGCCAGATGGGCATACCAGGTCGGCAAATGAATCTTCCTGCGCACTGGGACCTTGTTCCTTGTTCCCCGACTTTGCTCCGGGGACCTGTAAGGTCAGGTGCGGGACAGGACTGGGTGCATCCAAACAGAACGAGACCGGAGCAAGAAAAGAGGTGAGAGCGAGTGAGACCTATGGAATTTTGCACCGAAGCCACCAATTTGGAAACTCCAACCCCCGTTTTTGCAGCGTGTGTGTATGCCTGTGTGTTTGTGCATGTGTGCGCGAGCATTTCTTTCCTTTCAAACGTCTATACATTTTTTTTTTTTTTTTAAAAGCCGGAGGCTAGAGAGAGCAGAGCCGGCGAGAGGCGGGGACCTTAGAGTCGCGCTGCGCCGCGAGGGCTCCCGCGGGTGTAGACGTGGGCGGCTGCGGCTCTGAGCCAAAGCTGAGCACCGGCAAGGAGTGGGGCTTAGGGACCCGGCAAGCGCGAGTAGGCCAGGGGTGCGGGGAGGAGCCCTGATGTAAGAATGTTAATGAGAGGCTCCCCCAGCCCAGCCCCCACCCCTCCCCACCCCCACCCACCCCACCCGCTGCAGAGACAAGCCCGGCCTCGGCGCGCCATGTGTGGTAACGCGCTCCGCCGCTGCCACGCTATTTAAACGCCGGCTATGGATCCAGGAACCCGCGCGAATCAATGGGATCAAACGCGAAGGAGGTGCACCGTCAATTACAAGCACCTGGACAAGTCTAACTTTTATTTTTTTCTTTTACAAATAACGCCTTCAAACGCAACCTTAGCAACGCCCAAATAAGAAGCCACCTCTAAAGCCAAATAGCCTATGAGCAAAGGGAGGGAGAATATATATTTATATTAAGTCTATATGTATATTACAGACGCACAGGTTTACATTCGGTGAACTTTTCTTTTTCTTTCTTTCTTTGCCTTTTTTTTTTTTTTAATTTGAAAACCCAGGGACACTGCAGAGGAGTCTTCCTCTCTCTTTTGGCGCGTTACTCAAGGGGGTATTCTTTTTTTTTTTTTTGTTTTTTTTTTTTTTTTTTTTTTTTTTTTTTGTTTTTTTCGGAGCGCCCAAGGGGGCGCAGGGACAGAGGCAAGAAGAGTAGGGAGGAAAGAGGCAGGGTGGGCGGGGGGCAGAGGGCGAGCCGGCGGCCAAGGCGAGGGCTTGCTGGCAACACGATGCGGTCCGTGCTGCTGCTCACTTTCTCGGCGTGCGTGCTGCTGGCCCGGGCGCTGCTGGCTGGCGGCGCGAGCGGTGGCGGTAGGGACACGGGGCCAGGCAGCGGACGCCGGGAGAGAGAGGCGCTGGCGGCTCAAAAGATCGAGGTGCTGGTGCTGTTGCCCCGGGACGATTCGTACTTGTTCTCGCTGGCCCGGGTGAAGCCGGCCATCGAGTACGCTCTGCGGAGCGTGGAGGGCAACGGCACCGGGAGGAGGCTGCTGCCTCCGGGCACTCGCTTCCAGGTGGCCTACGAGGACTCGGACTGCGGCAACCGTGCGCTCTTCAGCCTGGTGGACCGCGTGGCGGCGGCGCGCGGCGCCAAGCCCGACCTCATCCTGGGGCCGGTGTGCGAGTACGCGGCAGCGCCGGTGGCCCGGCTGGCGTCGCACTGGGACCTGCCGATGCTGTCTGCGGGAGCGCTGGCCGCCGGCTTCCAGCACAAGGACACGGAGTACTCGCACCTCACGCGCGTGGCGCCTGCCTACGCCAAGATGGGCGAGATGATGCTGGCCCTGTTCCGCCACCACCACTGGAGCCGCGCTGCCCTGGTCTACAGCGACGACAAACTCGAGAGGAATTGCTACTTCACCCTCGAGGGGGTCCACGAGGTCTTCCAGGAGGAGGGTTTGCACACGTCTGCCTACAATTTCGACGAGACCAAAGACTTGGACCTGGACGACATTGTGCGCTACATCCAGAGCAGTGAGCGAGGTGAGCAGGAGCGCGACCTGGGCCCTTGGCTCCGACCCAGCGGTTCTCGGTGGCTTCCCCCCTCCCCCCAAACCCCATCAACTCAGCCTTTTGCAGATCTCACTCTGCCCCGAAACCCCGAGGGCCCGAGGAGGGTGCGCGCGGGGACTTGTTCAGGTGTGAGCTGCCTGACCCAGGGGCGGGTTGAGGATAGTCCGTCGCGGTGGAAGGGGTGTGCCTAGAGAGTCTTGGGGAGGTGGACCTGGCCATTAGAGGAAACGTTTGAGCCTACTGCTAGCGCGGTCCCAAGTGTGACAGGTGTTGTCAAACACCAAGGATTTCCCCTCTTCAACAGCTCCGGGGTCCCAAGCGGTCCAGGAATTTGTCACCCTGTCCATGGCTGTCACGCGCCCCCTCATAGGGCGACGCCCGGCAGTGGCGCGCAGTTTTTTGACTACCTGGGGGTCTCCTGGCTTCCCTGGCTGCTCTTTCCACAGACCCCAGGTCTCCCTTAAAGGCTCTTTGTGTTACTCTTCCATGCCCCTTCTAGTCTCATATAAACAAGCTTTTGTGGTTTCCACCAAAGTGCGTCGCTGTGTCTGCACTCAGGCGACACTCACTTCCCCCGGGTGCGTTGGGCTTCGCAGACTGGGAAAGAGCGCAGAACTGGGCTTGGCCGGAGCGCGCGGCGGCAGGATCCGGTGCTGAGCCTCCTTCCCACGGGTCCCCTTCCCGGGTTTTTCTCTCCGGAGTAGCTGAGGGCTTGGAACAAGAGCCAAACTAGACAGAGAGCTTAGGACTGGAGGTTGCGTTTCTGTAGTGTAGACAGCTGAAGGACCCGGAATCCCCGCACAGGGCAGTGTGTTGGGGTGTCCCGGGTGGGGTTCACAACATTGGGGAAATCCCGCCTGTGTTTTCCCTTGGTGCGCAGGCGCCCAGAATGTCCGTGGTATTCCCCCCTCCTCCCCTCCCCGCAAAGCTTCCGATGCTCCGGTGTGCTGTCCGGGTGAGACCTAGGGGGACCCGAGCCAGCTAGGCATCCGGCTTGTCCGCAGTTTGGACGCGGGGGACCTGAGTCTGCCTGTTGCGGGACAACTTAGCATGAAGCTTGGAGACTCAGAACAGGTGAGGTGGGCAGAGAAAGCTTCAAGAATGGCGCTACAGCGGCCCCTCTCTCCAACTTGGCCACTCTGTGAGCACGCCCTGTAGAGCGAAGAGGTGTAGACGGTGTGGACCGGACAAGTTTGACCGTAAGAACTCCAGGCTGTCTGCGCAGAATCATTGTTAGGTGCTCAGGCAGGGCACTGGTTATGTAAAAGGCAAGTTCTGTCCCATGGTGGCAGATTTGCCCCTACTGGGCGAGAAAGCACGTCAACTTCTCTGCCACACTCAGTCCTCAGGTTACTGCAGCCTCTTACAGACAGTACTGGTGCTCCTTCAGTTCTGGGCTTCCAGAGCCTGGAGACTCCCTGGGGCAGGCTGGGCATGGGGGTGTGTCCTCCTCCTGGCTAGATCCGAGGTTTGCAAACCCTGTCATGGCCTCGTTGACCCCAGTGAGGTGGTGACCTTGGCACAGTGGCCTGCGATGGGAGGCCTGGCAGATCTGTCTGTTCTTGCTGTCCTTGCTGTGTGGCCCCGGAGCTGCCTTGGTGCTGGGAGGGCCAGAGTGTGATGGCCGGCTCAGGGACTGCTGTGTCCTGGTTTGAAAGGACTCCAGCCTGCATGCTGCCCATGTTATTATTTTTAAATACACCAAGCTTGGTAGATATACTCAGATCTCTTCGCTTTTATTTCCCCTTCAGTTTAGTGGCCAAAGTTTGCTAGACAGGTGTGGTAAGGTTACGATCATATGATTCTTTCCCTAAAACCTGCCCTAACAGTGATATGGCAGATTTTCCAAAATCTAAACAAAAATAGCTTTTTTCCCCCCCGCAGGCTACCCTCCTCTCAATTTCCTACTCTTTTGTAGAGAAAGTTGTAAGCTCTCAGGGTGCTTCCTGTAGCGCTGAATCTTTACTTCACCACGGGCAGTCAAGGTGTTCACTAGGGGTTAAGTGTATGCTCTAAGTAGAGTTTGTGGTTCAGCCACTTGCTAGCTGCCAGGATCTTGGGCTGTTAAACTGTACCCCAGGCGTTCAGGTAAAGCAGGCTTCTGTAACAGCATATCTTGGGAATTCTGGGAGGGTTTAATGAGCTAAGCCACCAGAATGCCCTGAAACAATGCCAGATCCATGAAGGAAATGTGTGGCTTCCTTGTAGTGGGTGTTGTTTTATATATAATAATCACCTTCACCTAGAAGGGGAAGCCATGTCCTGGGAAGCACACTAGGCCGAGAAGCACACATCTCTGGATGCAGCTTCTCTGCCTTGCAAGGCGCTGAATTTGGAATGTGTTTCTTCTGTGAAACAAGGAGCTGGATGAGAACTTGGGATTCTTCCAACTGATATTGAGGTCTGGATTGTATTTACCCAGATGTAAAAATGTAACATAGCATCCTGCCACAGAGGACCTTCTGTCCTTATGAGCCCTCCCCACCTCCTCTTTTTGGAAAGAACATTTCAACATTAAAACCAAATTATGGATATCTGAATATCTTTACTGGTAAAAAGTGACCTGTGGCCATCTCAGTAATAATGTAACTAAATTTTCTTGTGGCTACATGATGCCCTTTAGAAAGGAAAACTAAAAACCAACCAACCAACCAACCAACCAACCAACCAACCAACCATACTCTCTCAATCCAAGTAATTCTTATCTCCTAGGGTTTACCATCTAAATCAATAATTGAAAAACTTTAAAAAGTTTAATATAATTAAAATACATATACCTGAGCGTGTGTGATTTATTAAAACACCAGTGGGATCTTACAGCATGCATTTATACTAGTGGCTAAAAAGATGGCCCAGAGTCATTCTCAACTCCCAGGCATGAGGGCAACAGAGAATTTATCAAGAGCTAGCTAGCTTCAGGTGGCCTTGAGAACTAGGGAGCAGGAGATGAGATTTCATAAGGGGCTGTTTGGCCGTGTATCCTATTTATCACAAGATGGTGACCAATTTTTGTATACATGGTGTGTGGGGGGTGGCAGAGAACACTGGATAGTAAATTTTAAATATCCAAGTCTTTTTATAAAGTTTCTGTGTTTAATTCCAGATAAAAATTTGAGTGTAAAGGAGACATCATTATTTTTTCCCCAGAAATTCCAACGAAAACTGGACAAGATGACTCCTTAGGCAGGTGGTGATGTCTTGCTAGCCTTTTAAAACGCTCGGGATTTGTCTATTTGAGGTACTAAGGATATTCTAAAAACACTTTTAGGAAATAGATGTCTGTGGCAGAAATACACACACACACACACACACACACACACACACACACACACACACATACACACACACACACACACACACACACACTTAGATGGGTGTGGTGGCACATGCCTGTAATCCCAGCATTCAAGAAGCTGAGTCAAAAGAATTGTGAGTTCAAAGTCAACCTGGGCTATAGAATGTACCCTGCTATCCCAAAGTACAAACAAGCAAAAACAACAACAGCTGTTTTTTACTTGTTACTGGATTCACTTGTATAGCTGGCTACTGACCTCGATATGTCAGATGAAATGATACATTTACCATCAAAAGGACAGAGAGATGCATTTTTCAAGCAGTGGAAGGTCATAGTTGTTTTGTTTATGCGTTTTCCAAGATACAGAACTAGAAGTGATCTACACACAAATGATTTTGCGTGAAAACTAATTTTATTCTTTTAGTTATTGCTATGTTACTTCCTCGGGCCAGGATAATGACTATAGAGATAGAAATATTTAATGAATACAGGAACAACTTAGTTTTAATAGTCTGGTGTAAATGACCAAATAATTTGTCAGCAGAATTTTTAAGCAAAGAACCCATCATAAATCTACCTAGCACACAGTACCAGGATAGAAAGTGCTACAGTCCACAGTGTAGAAACTGCAAGAGCCTTTGGAGCGGATAGAGCTTTGTGAACAGCAGAAATAAGGGCGTGGTCTGTATTTTATAAACAACATCCCTTGCTATGTAGTGTAGAAACAGGAAAAACTGCTTTCGAAAGAAATTAGATTTTTATTCTTATCCAAGTTAGGTATCTGATCTTACATCTATGTAAGATCAGAAAATGACACATCTTATCTACAAAACATTCCTTATCACTTACTCCCTGTTTCGGACTTACCATCGTTTCTGACTCTTGTGGATGCTCTATAGCAATTTGCCTTTGGAACTCCAAATAATATGCTACTTTTGATTTTTTTTTTTCAGTTTTAGCTTTTATCTCTTGGAATGCTGGTGGAGAATGGTTGAGTTCTCCACTAACACCTACTATCCACTAACTACACATGCAAGTGTTTCCCTCTGTTCATCCCTCTATTACGGTCATGTCAGCATTTTTTGCTTAGCTCTGTAGTCGGTATTGATATTTACATTACCTTCCAAAAGCTGTAAGCTGTTCATGGTTGATCCAGTTGGAGTTATTTAAAAAAGGCCTTTTTTTTTTTTTTGGTTCTGTTTCCTATGGACTGACTGCTAGAATCATCTGTAAATTCTCTATTCCAGGCTCCTGAGCTGTTTCAGCTTAGTCATTTTCTTGGCATCCTGTACTATCATCACTCTGAGCTCTTTATGGAGTGTTTTCCCAAGACTTCCTTCACCTCTCATTTTGCGCCTGTTCCCTGCCTTGTTTTGGTGGACCACATCCTCCAGGAGCTTTCTGACAAAGGATGGATGAGAGATACATTTTGAAATGTTTCACGACTGAAAATTTATTTATTTTGCTCTTATACGTAATTGTAAAACTGCACAAAATTCCATGCTATATGTAATTCCCCCCCCAAAAAAATTTGATATCATTACTCCCTTGTCTTCTAGATTCTGAAGTTGCTGTTAGTTTGAATTGGTTTAGATACTGGACTTAGTGTTTATTATTCCTCCCCCACCCAGAAAATGTTAGACTCTTCTTTTTGCCCTCTGTAGCCTAGCACTTGACCACGGCACACATTGCTGCCAGTGTTTTGCTTATGCCTTGGTAGGCCCCTTGTCCTCAGAAACTCATGTCTTTTAATTCTAAGACAACTTCTTAAATGATTTTTTTGATGATTTTATTCCCTTCATCTTTACTATGTATTGTTAGCTTGATGTCAGACCATCTGACTGATTCTCTGCACTTCTTTCCTACTTTTTGCCCCCTTAATGAAAAAATGCCTTTTTGTTTGGGGGATTTCTTTGGGCTGCTCTCCAAAATTACTATCCCATTTAAAATGTTTAGATTTATTTTTGTGTTATTTTACGTGCATGAATGTTTTGCACGCCTGTGTGCTGTGCATCACATGTGTGCCTGGTGCCTTGGTGCCCGAGGCGGTGATGAACCACCATTTGGGTGCCGGGAATCAAACCTGAGTCCTTTGCAACAATAAGTGCTCTTAACCACTGAGCCAATTCTCCAGCCTCTACTATTTCACTTTTCATTTCTGTGATCACACTTTCAGTAGGCAGCATGTGGCACACCTTGTTCTGCCACCATGCAGTAGCTCCCGTCTCCTGTGTCTAAGTATAGACCTAGAGGAACATGAGTGTAAGATTCAGGTGGAGAACGTGGGAAATGCCCTTGTTATTGTTCCTTTAAACTAGTTGGAAAGCGTGCATTTAAAAATGCTGCTGAAGAGGTCTCCTCACCATCTGCTGTAGGTAGGGACAGCCACAAACCATAGAGAGTGTCACTTACTTGAAGGTCCTCTTCCAGGAGCAACCCTTTACCCACATGTCAACTGTAGCCTACAAAGTGTACTGTGTGCAAGTGGAGAGACCTCAAAGGAGAAGAAAGAGCCCGGCATACCTCTCCTACTCTTCCAGACTCACCAATGAGATAATTCACTACTTTCTCTCTTGCTGGGGCTAGTGAGGGGACACATGAAAGCCCTTGAGAGACATACAGATGCTAGTTCTTTGGCCTCAGGGTACAGTCTGTTCTATCCTAGGGCAGGTATAGCTCTCAAAAGGATGCTTAGGGTCCACACCCGGTGCCTTTGGATACTTGAACCACCTCCCCGGCTTCTCTGATTCATATTGCCCGCTCTGTAGCATCCCACTACTTATAATTTGGCTCCCCAGTTAGCATGCCTGGATACAGGAGATATTGACACAAGTGTATTCATGATCCTTCTGGCTCCCCATAGGACATAAGCAACCCACAGTTCTGACAATCTATTTATAAATATCGTGCAGGCTATGTGCCCAGCGTACCAGCAGAATCAGTTTCTGCAAGTGGCTACTGAGAGACACTCAACTCTAGACAACTGATACAAGTTGACAAGGGCTCCTTAGTAGACAGCCAATCAGAGCTTCATGGGTCGCTCTGGAGATGCCCACTCTCGGAGTCCATGCTCTTTGAACTTGCTCAGCAATAGCCTCTTGTTGGCTATTTTATGAGATACTCTGCCTATGATTTTTCCCATCGAAGGGGCTTGATCTAAAATGAGGGCCCAAGTTAGTAATTAGGAGTTTCTTTGAGAGCTTCTTTATTGAGACATCGTGGGATTTTTCTAAAATCCCAAATGTATAATTATATTTCCAAAAGAAACAACACCTACTCTCAGTGTTATGGGCTTCAGGAGTTAGGCATTGTCTCAAAAGCATGTTTTCTAAAGTGCTGTTGCCCTGTGCATGAAGCCTCTCTGTGGTTAAAAGTGTCAGTCATAGCCCGACACTCTGAGCTAATGTGTGCAGTGAATGGTATATCAACAGGAGTCCAGGCCTCTGTGCAGAATGTCAAGGCTGTTCGGGCACAGCCTGCCATTTGTTTTATGTCTTTTAGCACCCCTACTTTTACAAAGAGCACACACATCCCAGAGGGCTGGTATGCATCCTGATAAGGCCATTTACAAGCACCTAGGCTTCTGTGGGTCTCCTCACACTCTGTGTAAGAAGCAGATACAGTTCTCCTGGTCATGGGGCCTGCGAGCCCAAAACCAGCAGATTGACTGGACAGTGGCCAAGTCTCCACTTCACTCTACCCTGTGTCACTCTTAGGTCACGGGCAGCCATCTCTTAAAGCTGTTTAGAGCCTCTTATATTTGACAGTGTGACTACAAACTGAGAGAACATGGAAAGTGAGTGTGTCTGTGTATGTGTATGTATGCATGCAGAGATCTTAATATCTATTTCCTCTGTGTGTTGGGTCTCCTTCAGAATAATGTTTGTAAATGAACACAGAAGAAGGTGTATACCCATGGCTGATTTGCCAGAGGAATGTTCTTTCTGAACGCATCCACCCTGCTTTCCCTGGAGAATGTGTTTACTGTGTTACTAAGAATGAGTAGTTGCCATTCTCCCCTGTCTGTTTTCATTTGCTTTGTTTTTGAGGCAGGGTCTTACAGTGCAGCTCAGGTGGCCTAGAGCTCACTATGTAGCCCAGACTACCCTGAAACTCATGGTAATCCTCCTGCCTCAGCCTCCCTTGTACTGGAATTATAGGCACAAACCACCATGCCCAACTTTTCTTGCTTTGTAGCCTTCACTCAAATTTCACCAATTGTTAATACTTGGTCATTTTGTCTTAATATTTTGCATATCTCCCTTCTTTTTCCTCTGTCTTTTCTGATTTCCTATGTATGTATGTATGTATGTATGTATATGTACTAATAATCATCAAACCATCCATCTACCCAAATATCCATTGTCTATCTATATCTACTTATTTTTCAGACAAGGTCTCATTATATAGCCCAAGGTAGCCTTGAACTCATGATTCTTCTACCTCTGCCTTCAAAGTTCTTGGATTACAGACATGAACCACTATGATATGAACACTATTGATATGTGTTTGTATAAGCATACATATATACAACATTACAAAGATTATGTTATGAAACGTTTGAGAATAATTTACAAGATCGTGCTTTTATATCACTAAACACATTTCCTTTCTTGAGACAAAGTCTTATTTAACACAATCTGGCCTCATATTTCAAGGATGATCCACACAGAGCTGAAGTTACAGGGTTATACCACTGTACCCAGTTTTCTGTGGTGCCGTGGACCAAACCCATAGCTGTGGGCACTCTAAGCAAGGACTCTACAGACTGAGTCACATCCCCAGCTTTCTCAAAACATTTAACAGCAAGGATATTTACATAAATAATTGCAGTAGTAGTCCTGAAAGACAAGAGCTTTAATGCAAACACATCCTGCTGTCTAGCTACTGACCTTAAGTCAAATTTCACCAACTGTGAAATGTCTCATGATATCCTTACAGAAGATCTTTTACTTGTATTTTAAGGAGCATAGATGAATCACTCATCCTACCATCTCTTAGGTTGGATTTGTAGCTGCTTCCTCCTGACCAGATGCACTTTGCCTATTCGTATATTTTCTGGCCTTCTGTGTGTTCCACCAGGAGGTTACTGTGTCTGTGTTCTCGTAGTGATGCTGGCTCCTAATGCTTGGTTATGGTGTTGTTTGCTAAGTTTCTCTAAGTTAAAGTTATTGTGGAGTTCCCTTTTATCTATGGCTTCATCTTAGGATTTAGCTACCCATAGCCATGTGGTTTGAAAATTTTAAATGAAAATTTCTTCAAGCAAACAATTCGTACGTTTTAAGTTACTTTTGTTGTAGTATATTGTTATAATTGTTTTATTTTATTATTAGTTACTATTGCTAATCTGTCACAGTGTCTAACTTAGAAGTGAAGTTTTATCATAGGTATGTATGTTGAGGGAAAAAATGGTATGCTTTTCTACCCAACTTTTGGGAATGCTCTGGGATCTGGGATTGCACCTCCTGTGGATAAGTGGTGACCATGAATTAGGTAGTGTATGAAGAGCTCTTCAAGACTGTATAAATGTCCTATTCTGCATGTGTTTCAGCCTGGCTGTTTGGGGCGCTGTCAGCCTGGTGTGTTTGGGTGACTCACACGCTGTTTCTTTCCCAGTGGTGATCATGTGTGCCAGCGGTGACACCATTCGGAGCATCATGTTGGCGGTGCACAGACATGGCATGACCAGCGGAGACTACGCCTTCTTCAACATTGAGCTCTTCAACAGTTCTTCCTACGGTAACCGTGTCCAGCTCCTCCAGCTCTGCTAAAACGGCAGAAAGAGGGATGAGAAAGAGTCAAAAGCTGTAGTGAGGTCTATGGATGTGATTTCAGTTACCATGGGAACCACATTTGCTTTCGAAAATTCGTGATTCTGAGCGCTTCTACAATGCCTTGTAGTTTCTCAAGCTTTTCATCTTTTCCAAGAACCCAGTGAGAAGCAAAAGACACCATGTACCTGGGGTGTCAAGGAACTTCAGTGTGGGTCAGCATAGTCTGTTCCTAACTGCACAGGAATATACAATACATGCAGGCACTAAGTGTCCTTGTCATAGTAGATTGCCAGAATAATTTAAGTGTGATTTGGGATGGAATTTTAGGTAGCAGGAACAGATTAGAACATAATGCTATAGGACAGAATATGTCAATGTGTGCCATAGTTAACATATGTATTGCTTCATAAAACTTTTAGTAATATAACAATATATAAATATATATAATATTTATTCATATTACACATGTGTCTCTTATAGGCCACAATAGGAAATAAAATAACAAATACTGCAAGTTTTGACACTTGGAAGTCACTTGGAACCCTCCCTTCTTGTAGCTTACTACACCTTAATCCTCTCTTAAGTAGAATTTCACGAGCCACTTACATATAGGGTGAAGACATCTTTGATTCCTTATATTGGATTTAGGGAAACTCCCAAGGTCTGTGTAATAGAGGATTAAATTTTTTTAAAAAAATAAAATAAGTATTTATCTGTATCTGTTTGGGTGTTTTGCCTGCATGTATGTCTGTGCATCACATGTATTGTCTGTGCATCACATGTGTGCAGTGTCCAAAGAGGCCAATAGGGGGCTTAGGATACCCTGGGAACTAGCATTACAAACTGTTGTAAGTCATGTGGATGCTGGGAGTTGAATCTGGGTCCTCTGGAAGAGCAGCCAGGCCTCTTAACCCCTGAGCCATCTCTCCAGTCCTCCATGTAATGGAAGAATGCTTAAGGGGCTCATCACGATCACAAATACAAAGTCTTTTCCTCCCACTGTAGTTAGGATGCTCTCGGAAGTAGACACTTCAATACTACAGGACATTTCCTCAAACATACACACTGGCTGCTCAAAGCCACCCAGCTCTAAAGCTGCAAACGTGCAGATCACAGATGGCATGTTTATGGCGAGCTCTACTTCCGAGTGCTTGCTGATGATATATAGTTATTTAGATAGGCTCCAAGCCTTTAAACATTCACTGTGGTTTCCTGCCCTGACTTCCTGGCTTACTTAAGCAGTGATCATTGTGTATATACAGATAATATAACATACTTCTGGGGAATAAAGAAAAGTTGATGAAACAAAAGTAGCCACCACTTCCTGTGATGGATAGCCCTGGAGATGTGGTGCTTGAAGAATAAATGAAATATTTCGTGCTGTTTGCTATCGTTATAGTCTTTCCCTTCCTCCTTTCTGTTAAGTGGGATGCTGTCCTTGTTCATTGACTTAAGACCAGAATGTCATAATACTAGCAGCTGCAGCATTGAGTTCTTTAACACAGGGGCCAAAATAGGTTAAAGGGAAAACATCTATTCTGTCTTATAGGATTAAATACAGAATTTAAGGTGGTGCATAAGAATGCATGCTATCAAGAGACAAGCACATTTGCATGCATTATGCACGCAGTACCTAATAACAAGTGTAACAGATAAACTCGTGTTTTGGCTTTCCCCTGTTATTATAATAAATGAGCATTGCAGAAAATTTGGAAAATCTATAAAAACAACTGGAAGAAAATAAGTTAAAATTCTGCCACTCAGAGAAAAAGTTACATTGTAATTTCTTAGAAATACGTATCTTAAAGAAAAAAGAAATATATATTTTGTCTATTAGATTTATGCACATTTCACAAGAATATTTTTCAATAAAATGATCATATTATGTACACCTACCTAGTACATCTTTAATTAACCTCTATTTCTTATATTTTTGGTTGTGAGCCTAGCCTTTAATGGCTGAGCTATCCCTCCAGCCCTAACCTCTATTTCTTAACACTTCTCCCAGCCTCTTGTTATTAAGAGCAGGATGTATTGAATAGTCTGATGTGTATATACACTTATAGTCACACAGTTAGACCTATATTACATATTATACAATATAAATTCCTTGAGGTACAAATGTTGGCTCAATCGTTATATGCAAACATTGATAGGATTGGTAACTTTCCTCATACAGAGGTTTTACCAATTTTTATTTTTGGATAATGAGGAAATTTTCTGTATTCTTGTATCCTTTATCAGTTTTGCAAGTTATAGCTTTATTTATTGAAATTTATATTTTTAATTTTTATCCTAGTGTGTGTGTGTGTGTGTGTGTGTGTGTGTGTGTGTGTGTGTGTGTGTACACTTGCTGTGGTGTGCATGTGGTGGTCAGATTACAGTTTTATGGAGCTGTCTTTCTCCTTCCACCTTTATGTGAGTTCTGGGGACTGAATGCAGGTCATCAGTTTGGGTGGCAGGTGCCTTTACTTGCTAAGCCATTGTACAGGCCCATTTATTTATTTTTAAAATTTTATTATTATTATTTTAATATATAGGTTTTTTTCCTGCATGCATGTCTGTGTACCACTTGTGTGTGTACCTGGTGGGTGCCTGGGGAGCCTGGAAGAGGGCATTGGATCTCCTGGAACTCAAGTTACAGACAGTTGTGATCTGTCATGTGGGTGCTGGGAATCAAACCTGGGTTCTCTGGAAGAGGAGCCAGGGCTCTTTATTCTGTGCCACTTCTTCAATATCCCCCTTCTAGTTTTACTTTTTTTTTTTTTTTTTTTTTTTTTTTTGGTTTTTCGAGACAGGGTTTCTCTGTGTAGCTTTGCGCCTTTCCTGGAACTCGCTTTGGAGACCAGGCTGGCCTCGAACTCACAGAGATCCGCCTGGCTCTGCCTCCCGAGTGCTGGGATTAAAGGCGTGCGCCACCACCGCCCGGCTTAGTTTTACTTTTATTATACACATTGTAAAATTATATTTAAAATTTTTAGAAATATAAAATTAACTACTTTTAAAATTTAAATTTAATTTTTTTTGAGACAGAGTGTCTCTATGTAACCCTGGTTATCCTGGAACTCACTGTGTAGGCCAGGCTGGCCTTGAACGAACAGAGATCCACTGGACTGTCTCCCAAGTGCCAGTATTAAAGGCATATGACACTATGCCTGGGCAAAACTAACTACTTTAGCCTGTGACTTTTAGACTTATAGAAAACTTGTAAAAGTAATAGAGAGCTCATGCATATGTATCTTTATATTTAGATTATTTATTTACACATTAAAAACTTCTTATTCCATGGATTCAATTTTTGTTTTCTTTTCAATATATATTTTTGTTTGTTTTAGATCTATGTCTTTTATGTTATGTGTGTGGGTGTTTGCCTGGCATGTATGTATGTATGTAGGTATATGTATGTATGTATGTATGGCGCCCACAGAGGGCGAAGACAGCATCTGGTTGTGAGCTACCATGTGGTGCTGAGAACCGAATTCAGGTCCTCTGCTCTTAACTGCCAAGCCATCTTTTTAGCTCCAGTTTTGGTTTCTTGAAAATTTAGTTGCAAAATGGTTTCACACAAATCACAATGAATTCTTGATGTTTCTGATGAAATCTGCATTACTTTACATTGTACTGTACATTTGCTCAGACTTTGGGCTCTGATCTCAATTAGCCTGAAAGACTGACCCATATTCTAAGTCTTAATTGCTAAGACCTAAGAGTTAACAGCTAAAAGTCAATCTTTGAACAGTGAGTTAACCTGTCCTCCCTTGCCACCTTCGTCTCTTCTAATGATACATCAGGCTGAGCAACAAGTGAACACGAGAGAGGATGTTTGTTAACTACCTGGCAGACCTGAGGAAATGCAGAAACTATGTAACAAATATTTGCGGCTTTCATTGTTAGTCTTACTTTGCTTTGACCACTGCCCATGGAACTTTAAAAACAGTACTTTTCAAACTTTTCTCTGATTTCATGTGGTACAATCTGCTACCGCAGTCACTGACTTTCAGCTAATCCACCCGAAGGGGCTGCGTGCATTATGAATTACACCCGCAAGTGAATAATCGTTACACTCAACTAGAGTGACCAACATGTACAGCTTTCTTCTACCTGAAAGAGCTCTGGAGGAGGGAAGTCCAGGTTAGGGATCTGAGTCTATAAGTCATTACTGTTACAAGTTTCTTATGTTTCCTGTCTCTGTTTTCATTTACCAAAGACTGTGGCCAGGGGTCATGCCTTAATTCTAGTCAAGGTAGGTCAAGGTTAGCAGACGAGAGATCCGTTCAGGTGACTCCATTCTCTTTGTTGGCTTCCATGGAAGCTCTACTCAACTTCCGGTTGTTTGAGGTTGGCTACCCCTGGATAAAAGCCAGGTCAGAAATTGTATTCTCAGTTGGACTCCAAAACCAAAGTGGGATTCTGTGAGTAAGGAGGGGGAGATGGTGGGTGTAGTGTGGTACCTTTCTATGTCTTCCACAGACCCTGAAGCATCTTCTTCCTTGGAGCAGGAGTGACTGATGGAATCATACAGTGGGCAGGGTCACCTGAACCAGCATTCCAGAGGATCCAGAGCCTTCTTTGATAATTTAAACCCCCATAATCAGAGCTGTGATTCCAAAAGCTTTCCCTATGGCACCTCACACAAACTGTATACTAGTTCTAGAGCAGCGGTTCTCAACCTTCCTAATACTGTGACCCTTTAATATAGTTCCTCATGTTGTGGGGACTCCCCAGCCATAAAATTATTTTGTTGCTACTTTATAGCTCTAATTTTGCTACTGTTATGAATCATAATGTAAATATCAAATTTGCAAGATATCTAATATGTGACTGACAGAGGGGTCACGACCCACATGTTGAGAACCTCTGTTCTAGAGGCACATCATCCGTTTTCACTGGTACTTTTAGAAAACATAGTCGACAGTGTGTCTATTTTCTTTGATTACTAAATGTCTCAATTTTGGTGAGACCTCA